GGTGGTGCCGAGCACCGCCCACGCCGGCGACGAGGCCGACTTCACTCTGCGTGTCTTCTCCGAGCGCCGCCACACGGCCGTGTGAGTCCCGGGCACCCAAATCCGACCCCATCCCTGCCTAGACAGGCCCCGAGACCCCCGAGACCTGACCCGCCCCCAGGACCCCCCGCCCCGCGAGGATGACCCCAGGGCCCCACGGCACGTTCCCCACCTAGATAGACCCCACATGATTCCTCAGCTGAGACACAGCCCCAGCTGGGGCAAACAGCCCCTCCCCACCTCCCATCTGTAATTTGCAGGGAGATCGACGACGTGATCAGCGCAGACCTGCAGGCTCTCCAGGTGGGGGCTGTTCCGGGAGGGGCACGATGGGGCGGGGATCTTGGCCTGAACTAAACTTCCCCGTGCCGCAGGGCCCCTACCTGCCCCTGGAGCTGGATTTGGAGCAGCTGTTTAAGGAGCTGGCTGGAGAGGTGAGGAGGGGGTATTGGGCTGAGGGAGCATCCGGCTGCAGCTTCCCTTTGGAGATCCCCCTTCCCCCGCCCTAGCATCTCGGGTGTCTCATTTTGCTTACTTTTTCCTCCCTCCGGGCTTAAATCTCATGACCTTTTCTTGAAATGCTCACAGCTCCTCCCTTCCTCAGGGCCTTGGGCTCAGTCCATACTGACCACCCTCTCCCAGGACCATCCTCTCCCTCCTGACACCTCCGGCCAGGCTCAGGCCTCATCTAAGGTGTCCAGCCCTGGAAGCTCTCCCTGACCCTCCCCCAGGCCGGTCTGCTGCCCTCCACCAGCTCCCACAGCCCAGTGCTTCCCCCATCACAGCCATGGCCCTGTGGGGACAGGCCTGTCTCCCCCCACTCGTGGAGCTAGCTCTGAGGCTCTGTCAGCCCTTGTGTGTCCCTAGCCCAGCCAAGCACAGGGCCTGGCCCAGAGCAGCTGGATGAGTCAATGGCCTCCCAAGCCCTCTTTCCTGGACTAGGAGGAAGAACTCAGTGCCTCTCAGCTGCAGACCTTACTAAGCATTGCCCTGGAGCCTGGTGAGTTGGCTGGGATGGGGGCAGGAGGAGGGGTCTTAGCTAGGGGTCCTGCAACCAGAGCCGGTGCCACCCTATGTCTGTGAACCCACGGTGCTGCTGGGAGTTGGGCTCAGGAAGCCAGGGCTCAGCCTGGCAGCATCTCCCTGCAAGGGATCCTGTGTGGGCCGGTGACCTGGGCCACAGCTGCTCGCAAGTTCCCCTTCTGCTGAGAGGCAAGGCTGCCTTGAGCACAGACTGGGCACCCCTGCCTGGATTTGAATCCCAGCTCTGCTAGTCACGGCAGTCAGTGGCTCCCTGTGCCTCGGCTTCTATAACATGGGACTGACAGCATCGCCTGCTCGACGGAGTTGCATCCACATGGCCCTCAGAGTGGCGGCCAGAATGCAGGAAAGTGCTGTGGTTTGATTTTGCTCTTCCTGTAGCCAGGGTCCACACCCGCACCCCCAGAGAGATCGGGCTCAGGACCTGTGAGCAGCTGCTGCAGTGTTTCGGGGTACATGGGGGGAAGTGCCTGGGTGAGGGAGGGAGTGGGGAAGGGGATGCTGGGGTCTCCTCCCCTTCTGGAGAGATTGACCTTAACCAGATGCCCCCACCCCCAACAGCATGGGCAAAGCCTGGCCTTACACCACTTCCAGCAGCTCTGGGGCCACCTCCTGGAGTGGCAGGTGAGGTGGGAGACTGGGCCTCTTTACTAACCTTTACTAACAGAGACATAGGCACCCTGTGGGCTATCAGAGCCCCAGGGAATGAGGGGGGCTGGACTATGCTGACTTGGAGGGATCTGGCTGGGATATCCCTGCCCCCGCCCAGCCTCAGCTTGTCCTCTGGGGACATTGCTCTTATTCCCATTTTACAGATTGGGAAACAGAAGTCCAAAGTGGTTAGGCTGCTTTCTGGGGGTCCACACCAGAAGAAAGGGAGTTGGGAGGCCAGGCACGGTGGCTCAAGCCTGTAATCCCAACAGTTTGGGAGGCCAAGACGGGCGGATCACGAGGTCAGGAGATCGAGACCATCCTGGCTAACACGGTGAAACCCCGTCTCTACTAAAAAAAACCAAAAAACTAGCCGGGCGAGGTGGCCGGTGCCTGTAGTCCAGCTACTTGGAAGGCTGAGGCAGGAGAATGGTGTAAACCCGGGAGGCGGAGCTTGCAGTGAGCTGAGATCCGGCCACTGCACTCCAGCCTGGGCGATGGAGCGAGACTCCGTCTCAAAAAAAAAAAAAAAGAAAGGGAGTTGGGATGGGCACCAGGCTGTCTTGCCTGGCGGGCCCCATTTGCAGCCTTCTTCAAGGCCTGGGGGGTAGCCCTGACTCATCCCTCCTGCCTAGGCCATATTCCACAAGTTCGATGAGGATGCCTCTGGAACCATGAACTCCTTCGAGCTGAGGCTGGCGCTGAATGCGGCAGGTGTGGACAGGGCCCTGGGGTGGTCGTGGGGACAGGACCTGTTCTCTCCCATCCCATCGTCTCCAAGTCCCCCCGCTCAGCTGTGGCCATCTGCACCGTGGCCATCCACAAGCCCACACCTTAGCTTGTTGCCAGTCCCTGCCAGGGGTTGGGCGACCCTGAAAGAGGCCAAATAAGGAAGGAGGGCAAGGGGTGTTTGTGGGGTGGGGAGGACATGAAAGGGGGATGTGCGTGGTAGGGTGCTGGGGGAGAGAGAGGCTCCTCCAGGAAGGGGAAGATTAGGAGCTGGTGTCTGAGAGGCTCTGGCCCCCAGGGCAGCATGGTAGAATGTTCCGGATTCTGGTGCCACGAGGTTGGAATCCTCACTCTACTGACTCCAGGAGGGGCTCTGGGCGCTTGACTCCATCTCTTCGAGCCTCTGTTTTCCTCTCTGAAATGGCCAGGGCCTGGTGTGGTGGCTTACACCTATGGTCCCAGCTACTCAGGAGGCTGAGGCTTGAGGATGGCTTGAGCCCAGGAGGCTGAGGCTGCCATAAGCCCTGATTGTGCCTGGGCAACAGAGCAAGACCCTGACTCTCAAAAAAAGAAAAAAAAGCCAGTACCCAGGGTGGTGAAGAGTCACCCATGAACTGCGGGGCATAGTACTTAATGATCAGAGAACGCAGTTTTCATTACAAAAAGCCGGAGCACCCCAAAGAGAGCCAGCCAGTGGCCTCTGCTATGAGGCTGAGTTCCTCCTGATGAGCTGGAACAAGCCCAGCACAACATCCTGACCAAGAAATGAAGTCAGAGAGAAAGGCTTTCCATGGGCTCCAAGGCAGATGAGACAGTGCATGACTGTCACCCTCATGTGGAGGGGATTTGGAGAGTGGGCTGGGGTCAGAACTTGGAATTCCCAGATCCCCAACCCCACTCCCAGGCCTGTCTGCCACCACACCAGTCACTACTAAAAATACAAAATTAGCCGGGTGTGGTGGTGCGTGCCTGTAATCCCAGCTACTTGGGAGGCTGAGACAGGAGAATCACTTGAACCTGGGAGGTGGAGGTTGCCATAAGCCGAGATCATGCCATTGTACTCTAGTCTGGGCAACAGAGCAAGACTCTGTTTTAAAAAAAAAAGCCCAAGTCAAAAGAGGGAGAGATGGGGTCAGAGACAGCCAAGGATTGGGAGACGTCGGGCAGAGAGGGAGAGGCTGGGCCCGAGATAGACAGGAACAGAGGTGAGGGAGCAAGGACTCACAGCAGGTGGCAGGTGGCAGGCTGTGCTCACGCATCTGGCACCACTGAGTGCCTGTTACATGCCCAGAGTTATTCCAGTAAGAAGGAAACTGATAAAGTACCTTGAGAAGTTCTCAAACGGGAACTCCTGCAGGCAGCTGAGGGGCTCCAGCCCCTTCTCGGGTCCTTCCACCCCATCTGGCTGGGTTTTCTCATAGCCCTGGGCACAGCAGCCTCCACCCCTATGCCCGAGGGCAGATGAAGGCCAGAGGGAGAGTGACCTGGGGCAGGTCTTCTGACCTCCTGCTTCCTGCTAAACAGCAGTGGGCACAGCATGGAGTGGCGCTTACTTGGTAGATATTTGTGAAGAGAATGAACACACAGAATGGGGGTGAAGATGGGCTTTGGAAGCAGCAGAAGCCCACGAAATGGTTCTTGGAACTGGGTTTGGCCACGTGGGAGACAAAGGAGAAGGTCGTGAGGTACGACCTTGCATCTCAGAAGGGGTCAAGAACCCATTGTTTTGGGTTTTGGAAAGCTTCCAGTGAGACGCCACAGCAGACACGGTTTCTCAGCTTTAGAAATCGCCTCTGAGGTGGACCGTAAAGAAACCGACTCCGTAGGGGATTGACGATATTTTTTGCGGCACAGAAATATCCTCCAGTGCCCACTGGCAAGGAGAAAGCCCCACAGGATTTAAGGAGTAACAGTACCCACACGTCGAGTCATGCGCCAGACGCTGTCCGAGCGCTCTTGTCTTCACACACCCTATGGGGTCGGGGCTGCCTCAGTCCCCGTTTGGTGGATGAGGAAACAGGCCCAGATAATTGAAGGGCCCAGCCTGTGCTTGCCCTGCTGGGATGGGGCAGAGTTGGGGCGTGACACCCTGTGGCATCCGCATCCTCCGCGAGGAGGTGGGGTGGGGATGCAATGCTGAGGTGGGTTCCCTGTGGGCCGCTGGGCTCAGAAGCAGCCTCCCTCTAGGCTTCCACCTGAACAACCAGCTGACCCAGGCCCTCACCAGCCGCTACCGGGATAGCCGTCTGCGTGTGGACTTCGAGCGGTTCGTGTCCTGTGTGGCCCAGCTCACCTGCATCTTCTGTGAGTACCACTCCTGGCATGGTGGGGCATGGGGGAAGGGGTATGGTGACTAGTGGGCACTCACCCTGCTCCTCTCTGCACAGGCCACTGCAGCCAGCACCTGGATGGGGGTGAGGGGGTCATCTGCCTGACCCACAGACAGGTGAGCCGGGTGGGAAGGACGGGGCGGCTCAGGCTCCATCCTGGGAGCTCCCTGCCTCAAGCCCACTGTCTTCCTTCTCTTGCTTAGTGGATGGAGGCGGCCACCTTCTCCTAGGATCTCAGGACGGGTGCACCTGCTGCTTGGGGCAGGGTTGCTGCGCAAGACCACCTCCCTAGCCCCTGCCTGGCACGGGTGCTGCTCTCTCTGGCATCCACCCACCTGGAGCTGATCTCTGGCCCCCACCACTCATGGCTGGGTGACCACTCTGGCCTGTGTGCTGCTCAGAAACAAGGACAGTGACAGCCCCTCTTGAGTAGATGACACGAGCTAGTCCACGTTGACAGCTTAGGACGGTGCTAGCTCTGCCCTGGCTCTCCTAGGAGTGGAGGACAGCCACGAGAGAGAAAAAAGATGACACTGCAGGAATCCTTCTTAAAAATATTACATGTTTTATTATCCTGTCCCCAGAGGGTGGTTTATCCAGAAACCGAGAAAAAAAATCAATCAGAATAAACTCAAAAAAAAAAAAAAAAGGGTAGGGGAGCAAAACCATCAACCACCAGGCAGCCAGGCCAGCAGCCCACCTCCACCTCTGGAGGGTCCTCAGAGACCCCCGCCCGACGCAGAGCCGGAGGAGCGTCAGCGAGGGCCCGGAAGAGAATCGGCTATGTCTTCATGACAAGAGCAGGAGAGACGGCAGAGATATGTTGCTAGGTGAATATATATTTATATAATAAATCCGTAAGTTAATAAAGTAAATAGTAATCCTCTGAAAGTTTTTAATTCTTTTTTATAGTTTGTTTTTTTTTTTTTTTTTTTTTTTGTTGTTTTGTTGTTTTTTTTTTTTTTTTTTTTGGTCCTTAGAAAATCTGAGACACGTGAGGCCAAAGCAAGGCCGGAGCTGGTGGGATGGGGTGGGGTTCAGGGGGGCCTGGGCTGCCAACTCAGCTGCTCTGCTGCGAAAGTAGGGTGCTGGTTGGGGCCCCCATCTCCTGGCAATGGCAAGTGAGTCTGGAGCAGGGAGGGAGGGGCTGGGTGGGTCCCCAGCCGTCGGGTGGCGGTGGCGCCCTCTGCTGGCCCCTCGCAGGGCCCAGGAGGTTCCTGGACAAGGCACATGGGGCTTTGGCCTGGATGGGGGAGGCCTTGAAGGGACCTCAGGGCAAAAGGAAGAAACCTGGGTGTGGTGGGGCATCCCCAGGGCATGGAAGGGACTGGTTTTGCTGTGGGAATCCACTGGCCCCTCCACGATGGTTAAAAAAACAACACATCATACATATTTACCAGACCAGAAGCACTGGCCCCAGGTCTCCCCAGTTCCAACCTGGTCGGGGGAACCTCCTGGCCAGCCCAGAGAGAGAGGAGAGAGCCTGCCCCAGCCCCTCCCTGCCCGCCCACCCACCCGGAGGACTGCGGAGAGCTTTGCATAGATACAGAGTGGAGGAAGGGACTGTGGGGCTGCCCCGGCCCCTCCCGGAGGCCGTGGCGGGTGTTGGGTCCGGGTGTCTCCGGGGCCTCACAGGTCGCTCTCGCCATACAGGGCTGTGGAGAAGGACTTGTAGTCGAGGGCGCCGGGCACAGCGTCGGGGCCCTGGTACGGTGCCATGCGGGCAATGCAGTACTCAGCCTGGTCGGGGGGCAGCTCTCTCCGCAGCTCCTCAGCTGTGATGAAGTTCTGGGGCCAGCAGGGTGGGACTCTGAGCCATCCCCACCCACATGCTGCCCCCTCAGCCCCTCCCACTGCAGGGACCCCTCTCGTCAGCCCCCATGAGCCTCGTAGGGGTCTCGCTCACCTTGTCCCCTGCCAGGACCTTGAAGGAGGCGATGACCTGGTCGGCCGTGTCGGTGTCGGTGGTCTCCCGAGACATGAAGTCGATGAAGGCTTGGAAGGTCACAAGGCCGCTGTGGTTGGGGTCAACCAGGCTCATGATGCGGTTGAACTCGGCCTCACCCTGCAAGGAGGGGGGGGGTGGGGGACACGCAACATTGAGTCCGGGTAGGGGCAGCCAGGCCCACACTGGTGGGGTCTCCAGGGAAACAGCTGAGAGCAGGGCCCAACCCGCATGTGCGTCCGCCCTGTTCCCCACCTGCTCCACTGGCTTTGGCCCCGAGCAGAGCCTGCCACTACTCTGGCTGCCCCAGAGCCCCAAGCCCTCAGTGCCCCAGGCTGGGGAGCAGGGCCTCTCTGCACCCTCCCCTCCTGTGGTCTCCGACAGCAGGGAACTGGGGTCTACTGCCTTCAGCCCAGACTCAGGAGTTAGCTCTGGAGGGTGGGGAAGAGAGAGAGAGAGAGAAAGAGAAAGAAAAGGGAGAGAGAGAGTGGGAGAGCTGCCCCCTCTCTCTGGAGACTTCTAGGGAAGAAGGGGGGCTGGGAAGTCATCGGAGGGACCCCACCCCGGCAGGTGCAGCAGAGGAAGAGGCAGGCAGGGCTGCGCTGCTCGGGCGGAGGAGTGTCCCCGAGGACGAGGAAGCTCTGGAGGCGGTGAGGGGGAGAGGTAGGGGAGGAGGAGGAGGAGCGGGCGGCTGGGGAGACAGAGCTGCATACCAGGCTGTATCCTGTGGAGATAAGCAGAGCCCTGAAGTCATCGGAGTCCATGCTGCCTGTCTGCTTCTGCTCCGAGGACGCAGGCATAGCAGAGGAGGCCGGGCCCAGAGTAGGCAAGAGGGACCGCCCCATGTGCACAGCGGGCAGACAGGACAGTGGCGGGGAGCAGGGAGACAGTGGCCCCAAGAGACCAGGTAAGAAGGAAGGTGTCCAGGGAGATGCGGGCAGGGAGGCAAGAGAGCCGTGAGATGGCACACAGGATGGCAGGGGTGGGATGGCAAGGGGAGAAAGAGAGAAGGAGAGAGAGAGAGAGAGAGAGCAGTTAATGCCACGGTCCACTGGGGCCCAGGGTGCGGTACCTGCCGGTCGTTCTCCACGTCGTAGCCCAGGCTGATGAGGCAGGCCTTGAACTCCTCGGGCCCCAGCGCCCCGCCATGGTCCTGCCGGGGCCATCCGAAGGCAGGTGTGCGGGAGGGGTGGCGGGCGTGGAGACCAGGATGAGGGATCGGGGTCACATGCAGAGGGCAGGGGGAAGGGACACGTAGGGAAGGGAAACACAGAGTTAGAGGTGACGTGGACAAGGAGATGGCCAGGGACGCATGGGGCGGGGGGCGGTGCGGGCCCCTTTCATCCTGCCCCCAACCTTGGAAGCTCAAAGGCAGGCAGAGGCCTCCCATACCTCTCTGCCCACAGCAGGGGTGGCAGCTGGAAGCTACAGAATTGAGGACAAGTCCCAGGACTGGAGGGGCTGTCCTCCAGGAGGATAGGAGGTAGAGGGGCCCTCCTTGCCTTTGGGATTTGGAGTGAGACAGAAGGGACTGCACCCTGTCCTGGGGACACCAGGTGCAGAGCTGAGGCTGCACACTCCTCAGTCTGTCAGCCTGGCAGGGTGGGCTGGGGATGGCAGCAAACTGGCGCTCAGGGCCCCTCTGATGAGGCTGCCAGACCAAATCTGAATTCTAAAAGCACCATGCAGGGTGTCTGTGTCCAGGTTCACAGACCGGGTTGCAAAGCCTGGGTGTGCTGAGACTTCATCTTCCCCAGGGGTGGTGAGGATGCCACCCCAGAGGGCAGGACTTGGGACATCTGGCCCCCTGCCTGTGTGTGTGAAGTGGCCTGGGCTGGGGTCGCGGTGCCACACGGCCACACCCTGACAGTGGCAGGGCCCTGCTGGCCCTGAGAGTGGCGACCGACGCTCAGCAACTGTGATGGGAAAGGACGGACAGATGCAGAGACGAGGGGGCGGGCTGGGACGGCAACGGCGGGAAGGGAGAGGCCGAGGCGGCGGCAGGCTGCTCACCTTGTCGAAGTGGTTGAAGGACGCCCGGAACTCCTGCATCTGCTCCTGGCTGATGCCCTTGGCGTCGCGGGTGAGGATCTGGTTCTCCACCTCGTTGATGGTGCGGGCAATGGTGGTGAGCAGCTGCTCCCAGCCCACGCGAATGTGCTGCGGGAAGACGGGGGTGTGACTGTGGGCTGGGCGCTGTGAACTGTCCTCACTGTGGTGGGATGTCCTCGGGAGCCTGCCCTGGGGAAAGCCCTTGCTCTCCTGTACATCTCCCGGAGGACATGGGCCGTGGTGCCTCCCTGCTGCCTCTGCCACGAGGCTTATGTCTCCACAGTAAGTGTGTTTCCCAGCTACAGGGGCAGCAGAAGGGCAAGCACCCATGACTCTTGTGCCGGGATCCCTGTGGAGACTGTTTGGACACAGTCTGGTCAATGTCTCACCACTGGCTCTCAGGGGAAAAAAATAAGCCAACTCTGGTTTGAGGCATCTGTGGACCTGTATGGGGTGAATCAAGAGTGTCCAATCTTTTGGCTTCTCAAGCTACCAATATGACAGCGACCAGCTTGCAACGTTCCTGGCGTGTTAGCCAGTGGCAGGCTCTGACCCTGAGCAAGGCTGATACTGCTGAGGCCACAGGGCAAACGGTGCCCTCCGTGGGCCCCTGGACCAGCTTGTCCTGTGAGGGGCATTGTCATGGTGATGAGAGCAGTGCTAGGAAAAGTGTAATTTTTTAAAAATGTCTGAACATTTTGATTTAGTCTTTTGCATCTTTTTTCATTTTTTGAGACAGAGTCTGGCTCTGTCACCCAGACAAGTGTGGTGGCACGACCTCGGCTCACCTCAACCTCTGCCTCCCTGGCTCAAGCAATCTGCCGACCTCAACCTCCTGGGGAGCTGGGACTATAGGCATGCACCACCATCTAATAGTTTCATTTTTTGTAGAGACAGGGTCTTGCTATGTTGCCCAGGCTGGTCTTGAACTCCTGGGCTTAAGCCATCCTCCCACCTTGGCCTCCCAAAGTGCTGGTCTCTTCAATAATTTTTAAACAGAGTGAAAAACAACAGACAGCAGACAGCTATCTTCTCACTGGCCCGAGCCATTTCCAGTGAGGAAGTCGGCCGTGCTGGCGGAAGGGCCAGCAGGCGGGGCGGCCGCGCACCTCCATGGTGTAGTTGGTGTGCTTGTTGTCGAAGATGAGGGCCTCCTGGATGAGCTGGTGCTGCTGCTCCAGCAGGTCCAGGTTGGGCTTGTAGTCCACGATGCTGCGTTCATACTGCTTCAGGTGGCTCAGCTGGTCCTCTAGGGTCCCGTTCATCTCAATGGAGATGCGCCCGATCTCCTATGGGGGTGCAGGCAGTGGGGTGAGGCTGGTGGGCCTGCCACCACTGACCACCAGGAGAAGCCCACTCGCGCCGTTGGCCTGCATCTCCCCCGGGGCCCTTCTGGCCTGGGGCTTTGGCCTGTGGGTCCCTGGGAAGGAAGGCCCACTGCTCACGACTGTCCCCTCCGGTCCTGCCCTCTCGTGTTAAAGCAGCTATGACTAAGACAGGGAGGCTTTCTCTGCCAAGCACTCCCCGTGCCCAACTTCATTTTACCCTTGACCTCTTTGTGAGGCCAGGGCTGTGGCAAGCCCTGACTGCAGAGGTAGAAACCGAGGCTCACGGAGGACAGCTCAGTGCAGTTAGAGGCAGAGTTGGGATCTGAACCCTGGCCTGGCCGCGGCTCCTGACCTTGGGCACTCCATTTTTCGGCACCCACAAGTCCACAGGCTGCGTGGATGGCATGAACCTCAGGGCTGGCCTGCCTGGCACCCAGACCCCCTCTCAGACTTGCTGGGTTTAAATGAGGTCACCTGCTGCCAGCCTGGTTGCCTAGCACGCAGTGAGTGCTCAGTGAGTGGTGGCCAGAGCTGCTATCAGAATGACAGCACTCATGTGGCTGGTTAGTCGGTGCAAAAAGCATTTGTTGAAAGAATAAAGTAACTGTTTTCATCCCCATTTTAGAGCTGGGAGGACTGGATCAGAGGTTCAATAGTGCCTGAGTCTCACAATCATCAGGCCAGGGCATTTGGGGATCAAACCCACCTCCAGTCGACTCCTTAGCCAAGTTCCTCTCTGGAGGGCACTGCCACTTTCATTTTTGAGACAGGGTCTCGCTGTCAGGCTGAAGTGCAGTGGCACGATCATAGCTCACAGCAGCCTTGACCTTCTTGGGCTGCGCACCACCACGCCCAGCTAATTTTTGTATTTTTTGTAGAGTTGGGGGTCTCACTATGTTGCCCAGGCTGGTCTCGAACGCCTGGGCTCAAGCAATCCGCCCGCCTCAGCTTCCCCAGGTGCTAGGATTCCAGGCTCAAGCTCTGTGGACTCTCCTAACCCCGCAGGGTGATCATGGCCCCTGGGTGATGACAGCTGGGACCTGTTCTGCGAGATGCCTCAGTCTGCAGGCCCTGGGCTGGCCGGGGAGCCCCTCACTGCGGGAGCTCCCTTGGAACCTTCTCAGCTCTGCGGGGCTCAGCCGCGCCTCACCTCCATCTTGGTCTGGATCCAGGGCCCCACGACGTTGGCCTGGCTGGCAAACTGGCGGCGCAGGTGCTCATTGGACTGCTGCTTGCTCTGCTCCTCCAGGAGGGCGTGGTCCCGTTTTGGCACCAGCTGCTGCACCTGACAGAGGGGACGGGGCGCAGGAGCGGTCAGGAAGGTGGCCCCCAGTCCCGCCGTCCTGCCCCCAGCCCCTCCCGACGGCCCCGACCCACCTTCTCCCACTTGGAGTTGATGATCTGCGGGGTGACAGTGGTGTAGGGGTTGCTGCCCGACAGCTTGATGTGGTTGCTCTCAGCAATCCTCTGGGCCTCCTTGTGGATGGCCAAGATGGCCTCGCGCTCCCTGTCGGCGTCCGGCAAGGTGGACTTGAACTGGTCATGGGCTGAGATCAGGCCCTGGGGGAGGAGCTGGAGTGAGGAGGCGGCCCAGCCCCGCAGAGGTTCTTGGGAAGATGGGGGGCTGAGGGGAGCGGACCTCAATCTCCTCGATGGTGTGGACAATGAACATGTCCTGGAGGTCCTCCATGGCGCTCTCCATCCAGTTGTTGAAGGGGGCCGCGCGCTTGGCGTACTCCAGGTGCAGCTGGTCGATGGCCTCCAGCTGCTTCTCTGTTTTCTGGTGTATGGGAGGGAAGGGGGCAGGAACAGAGGGAAGGCAAGTCAATATGTGAGCAGGAGGGCGGGGAGGGGCCTGGAGGGCCCTGAGGAGTCAGAGAACATCCTCTCTGTGGGAGTTGCGGGGAGCTCACGGGTCTGGACACTACTACACCACCAGCCCCAGGGCAGCAGGGGCACAGAGCTCCATGGGTGATGTCACCCCCTCCTCACCTCCAGGGCTTCCCTGCGACTGTGGGTCAGAGAGCCGAGGGCGTCCCACTGGTCGCAGATCTTCTGGCACCGGGTGTTGACATTGTGGGAGTCGTAGTAATCCAGCTCGCTGCGGGCCAGGCAGAGAGCAATGAGGCCCGGCAGGGACAACTGGTGGGTGGCTTGGACCCATCTACCCCCAGGATTCCCAGGCCGGAGTGTCAGGGCAGTCAACATTCCAGGATATCAACAACCAATCACTAATCAATCACCGCTTGGTTCTGGCCCGGGGTACCCCCAGGGTAGAAGGGAAGGGGTGATAACAGGGCTGGTTAACAGATAATTACCAGGCCTGAGCAGGGAAGGGGCTTCCTCCTGCTCACCCATCCCTGACTCATTCTGCCACTATCAGCTAAGAGTGTGGCCCTTCAACCAGGCCTTGGGGCCTGAGGAGGGGTAGGGGGCAGGGAACGACTCTGGGGAGGAACAGGACATGGGGACCAGGTAAGCCAGCCACAGACAGCAGACAGGGGCTGAGGCTATGCTCCACAGTAGGGCTGGGGGCCTGGGCGCCATTCCCATCTCAACCACTCCATTGCTGTGTGATCCTGGGCAGACCTGTTGGCCTCTCCGTGCCTTGGTTCCCTCAGTGACACAGTTGCTGTGGGGATTAAATGAGCTGGTACACATAAAGCCCTGAGAGCTCAGTGAGTTTTTGCTGTCACCATTAATCAGCGCTCAGCAGGGCTGCCCACCCGGCTCATCCTGGACGGTCCACAGGCCTCTGTACTTCCCCCGCAGCAGAACAGACAGGACCCAGACAGCCCTCCCTTCTGTTCCTCCAGGGCTACCATCCAGAAAGCTGCTTCAGGGACCGCCTATTCCTGAGCAGAGTAATGGGTTTCACATGGCATTGCCCAGGGCCTGAGAAGGGGGCAGGCCTAGGGTTTATTTCAAGTCTGTTTCCTACGAGGTTCAATGGGCTCCCCCATCACTGAGGAAGCTGCCTGTGTCCCACCCCCACACCCCTGAGGGTGCTGCATCTGTGGCCTTGCTCTCCTTGGCCTGGATGTGGTGGTGGCAGGACCCCTGAGGTGCCCCAACTGTGCCAAAGAAGCAGCTGTGGTTTCCAGTGCTGTGACAGCCCCATGGGACTCCTGCCTCTGGCTGAGCCAATGGGGAACCCTCAAAGCACCCGGGCAGTGGGGGGTAGTGATTCAGGGAGGAAACCAGCTCTGCCCGGCATGGGGCTCCACTGGGCATCAGGGCCGGGCCTTGGACTCATAGGAATAAGCAGACATTTGGGGGTGACTGTGGTGGGGTGGGGGTGTCAGTGGAAAGAGCAGTTATAGCCAAGGATCCTATTTTTGAGCAGACAGCTATTTTGGGAGCCCTGCTGCCCCTTGACGGCCTGTGGATTTTCCATGAAGTAATGGCCTGGGCCTCCGCTGCCTGGGCCCGCCCTGCTGCCGGCCGCCGCGCTGGTGGAATAAGGCCCCATTCACCAGCGCGAGCCTCAGCGTACTAATTGTGTACACAAGTTTATCTGACTGGGTGGGGAGGAGAAGGAGCCCGGCTGCCTGGAAGCTCTTACAATAAGTGTATTCTGAGCAAGAAAGGGAAGGGGCCGGGCAGAACAATAGGCTCACTGTGCAGCCCGGCTCCCTCAGGGAGCTGCGGCCGGGAGCAACCGAGGCCGGGGCCCATCCCATCAGGGGGCCAGGGCCTACCTGGGGTGGCCAGCAGGAGAGGTGGCACCCCCAGGGACCCCTAAAGCCTGAAGAATCAAGACAAGGGGCCAGACACCTCCCTCCTGCTAGAGAATCCAGATCCTTCAGGTGTCCCATCTGGGGCTGAGACAGGATGCGCAAAAGGCCTCATCCCGTGAGGCCCTTCCCTGGCTTCTGGAAGGAGGTGAAGTTGGGGCACTGGGGACCCTATTCCAGGCCTTGAGGCAGGCTGGGCCTCGGCGTGCTGCCACCACCAGTCTGGGCAGGCTGTGGTGGTAGCCAGGTGATGGGAGTGTCCCGAGCCTGCACGTACTTGAGCTCCTGGGCAATGGCGGCGATCTGCTCCACGCGGTCCTGGTGCGCGGCCAGGTCGCTCTCGAAGGCCTCGTGCTTGCGAATGAGGGCTTTGATGTCCGACAGTGTGGCCGTCTCGTAGTCCCGGTGCTTCAGCATGGCTTCCTTCCCTGGTGGGGGCAGAGAGGCACTTAAGACCACAGCACGGCAGCTCTGGGGCAGGAGTCTGGAGTGGCTGTCCAAGCAGAGGGAGGGAAAGAGAGACTGTGGACCCTACATCCTTCCATGACATTGACGGTGGCATGGAAACTTCCAGAACCTTTTTCTGCACCCTCTAGGGATCTTTAAGCCCAACTGTAACCTGGATGGACCTGGATGGACACTTCAGGGTTGGTGAGCCTGAGAGAGAGATTCCATCTCAACCTGTGTGTCCTAAACTTAGCATCTTTTATTAGTAGGAAACCATACAAATTGGGCCATGGTAGCACAGCTTGAAAAGGTAGCACCTGTTTCTGGAGGGTTTTGATCCAGAGAAGTACCCGGGGTCAAAGCCCATGTCCCAGCAGGCTTGGGGAAGGGGAAGCATTGGAACCAGCTTCTTCTAGGAGCCTGAGCCTGCAGCCGCACAGGTGGCGGTTCTCTCCCACATCTAAGTGCCCCACGCTGTCCTAAAGTGTCCTGTGTGCAGTGGGGCGGGCCTACCGTCAGGCCCTTTGAAGGAAAGGAGGAACACTGTTACTAGTCCCGGACCCTGGCTAATTACACATCCTAGAACCAAAACTCAAGCAGCCCTGCAAGCAAGTGAAGGTCTTTAGGGAACTGCAGGGAAAATACCAGCCTGGGACGGTGGCTGCACCCCAGCTCCTACAGGGGCCCTGCCTCAGGGACACCAACTTGGGCTTCCCCGGAGTGGTAGCAGAGATCCCCTCAGCTCTATCCCAGCGCACCTGAAAGTTGCCCGCCCAGTGCAGCCACCAGGGCCTCTCTGGGCCTGTGCCTTCATCTGTAAAATGGGGCCAGCCCCAGCACCTATGTGGCATGGAACTATTCTCAAATTCCAGTGAGGTGGTGTTCAAGCACAGCAGGCATGAAGCCAGTACCAGCGTCACCTCAGCCTCTCCCGGTCTCATCTGTCAGGCACCTACCAGCCTCCCCCTGGGATCGGCCCTGGCGCTGATGGGCAAGAGGTGGGCGGCCTGAGAGATTCTGGCTCCACCGGCCCTGCTGCGCAGCCCTGGGGCAGGAGGCTCAGCCACAAGGCAGCCTTGCAATTCCCTTCTCCAATTGCTTTCTCCCAGGGGCAGGAACGGGAAACAGCAGGTGACATCTCCCTCTGCCTCAGCAGAGTCCCAGCAAGGGTGCACCGAGAGGATGTGGGCAGCGGGCCATGGCCACGGCTACCTGGGATCCAGGCCAAGGGACAGCCGGAGTGGGGAAAAGGGGTCGCTGGGGGCTGGTCGTATTCCCAGGAAATCAAGTCCCTTGGAGAAGCATCCACGACGACCCTCCCGCTGTGGGCTGTGGGGGATGGTGAGGGGCGTGGAGCGAAGGTGGTCCACCTACCCCAGGGCGGAGGAGGCCGCTATGACCAGACCCTAGGGTGTGGAGGGCCTGCCCGTCCTGTTTCACATAACTGCTGCTTGAGAGGACAGAGGCTCTGAGTCTTGGGAATTAGCAGTCCAGCCTGCCTGGGGGTTCTGGCGGACGCCATGGGCAGACCCGGGTGGATGCCCAGCCAGGCAGGGGTGGGGCAGGGATGTGTGGAGGCCACTGAACCAGCTGGGCCCTGGCCGGGAGACTGACTGGCTTCTAAACATCAGGTGAAGGCTGCCCCAGAGCCCTTCTCCCAGGGGTGGAACGCCAGTGGGGCCACTCCACCCAGCCCCTCAGCCGCAGGAAACCATCTGCAGGGCCTCACGGAGTCCTGTAGAGGGACTGAAGAGCTGAAGGGTGGGCAGAAAGACCCCCAGAAGGTTCAGCCACAGGGCAATGCCCAGGCCTCCATGGATAAGGACAGCTGGAGCCACCTGAGCTGTCTGTTGAATGAACGAGTGAATCTGGGAATGGATGGAGGCCACCAACCCACACAAGATGGCATCAGTGCCAACATGCTCTCCTCACACTGGTGCCTTTCTGCCAGGCAAGAGGGAAGTGCGGCATTTGGCCTGGCCAGGCCCTTCCTTCCTCCTCACCATCCACTCTCATCTGCATTCTTTTCTGGCAGCAAAGGGGCCAGACTGCTCTGGGGCTGGCAGCCGTTGTGGGCATGGCGAGCTGAGCTCCTGTGAGGAGGACACGAGCTGGGCCGTGACCAGGGCTGCAGGCCATGCGGAGCTGCATACTCGTATGCGGCCAGGGTGGGGAGGGGTGAGAAACTGCACTGAGGAACGCAAAGGAAGGGCTCAGCTGGGCGGAGTGGCGGCCGGAGGGCCCAGGAGACAGCACTGGGAAGGAGGTGGCCAGAACGGGAGAGGAGTCCTGTGGATGGCTCTTGTGGCTCTCCCAGGCACTGGCAGCTTTCTGAAGGCTTCCAGACCCCTGGGATCTGGAATCTCAACCTTGGCGTGACCCAAAGGAAGGCCAGGGACGTGATGGAATCCCATATCCGGAGCCAAGGGCCAGGGAGCTGCAGGGCTGCTGAGAACAGAAAGTGCAGCTGCGCTCCTGCAGGGGGAGCCAGGCCTGGGAAGGAGGCTCTGGGAAGGGATGGGAGGTGGGAGGAGCGAGCAGGTGGGCCATGCTGAAGGGTGGGCCGAAGGCAGTGGGTGTGGGTGTACACTGTCTGCTGTCCGGGTCCCGCAGCAGGCCCAGGAGGCAGGCCCTTGCCTAGCCCAAGGGACGTGCCAGTGAACACAGGCTCCCCAGCCTGCCGTCCACACTCACAGAAGTGTGGGAGAGGGGAGCCGACTCTGAACACAGGGTGCGGGGGATGGAAGAGGCCTGCCCCACACGCTCGCCCTGGAGAGAGAAGACATGCAGAGGTGACAAAGGGATGGGTATAAGGCCACTTCCCTGAAGCGCTGGAGGGGGCTTGGCTGTGTTCCTGGATGACTGACAGGGGCCCACCTGTAAGTAATCTCTGAGGCAAGGGCAGACTGGGCAACAAAGAGGACCGGGCCCCTGAATGGTCCCTGCTTCCTGGGGCTGGAGGAACCCAAAGCAGCATTTTTTTTTTTTTTTTTTTTTGAGACGGAGTCTCGCTCTGTCGCCCAGGTTGGAGTGCAGTGGCCGGATCTCAGCTCACTGCAAGCTCCGCCTCCCAGGTTTACGCCATTCTCCTGCCTCAGCCTCCTGAGTAGCTGGGACTACAGGAGCCCGCCACCTCGCCGGGCTAGTTTTTTGTATTTTTTAGTAGAGACGGGGTTTCACCGTGTTAGCCAGGATGGTCTCGATCTCCTGACCTAGTGATCCACCCGTCTCGGCCTCCCAAAGTGCTGGGATTACAGGCTTGAGCCACCGTGCCCGGCCCAAAGCAGCATTTCTTTCCTTTTTTTTTTTTTTTTGAGACAAGGTCTTGCTCTGTCACCAGGCTGGAGTGCAGTGGTACGATCAAGGCTCACTGTAGCCTTGACCTCCCTGGCTCAATCGATCCCCTCCCACCTCAGCCTCCTAAGTAGCTGGGATCACAGGTGTGCACCACCGTGCCTGACTAATTTTGTTATTTAAATTTTTTTTTTTTTTATAGGCAGGGTCTTGCTATGTTGCCCAGGCTGGTCTCAAACTCCTGGGCTCAAGTGATCCTCCTGCCTTGGCCTGACAAAGTGTTGGGATTACAGGTGTGAGCCACTGCACCTGGCTCTAAAGCAACATTTCTGACACACACACATGCTCCCAAGCAGCAAGAAAGGGGACCTGACAAACACACCCAACGCGGCAGGGGGCTGTGTGTGCACCCTCACGTGTGCCTGAGAGACAGGAGGGGAGCGCAGGAGCGGGGCTGGGCAGAGTGGGGCAGGGCTGGGCCATACCGTCAGTCCAGGCCTCGTGGATGGAGGCCTTCTGCCGAAACTTCTCTGCCAGGTGGTCGAGCCGCTCCAGCCTGCGGATCTCATTCAGCAACCACTCCTCATAGCCCTTCTCAGCCTGCTCCAAGTGCTGCCAGCCGTTGTTGATGTCCTGGGGCGGGGCGGGAGCAGGCAGGGCTATCAAAAGGAAGCAGGGGCACCCAGGGGGATGTCTCCAAGGGATGCTGATGGGAAGTTGGCAGAGCTTGGCTGGGGTCATGTCTGTGCCATACTTTGCTGTTATATCTGGATGCCTACACAGGGCCCCTCAGCACTCGGCAGGTACAATCAATTCTGGATTAACAAAATGAATGTGTGAACGGGTGAGTGCATGAATGAATGGATATCATAGATGGGGAAGTGGTAACCGTCCAGGGCGCACTGCCCCTCTGTTGATGAAGGGCCTCAAGCACATGGCGGTCCTGCCATCATAGCAGACCGGGACTCCAAATTCACACCACTCCACACCCACACAACCCGTGGCATGGATTTGGGGTGGGTATAAAACCCTGGGTGTAATATACCCAGTGAGGGCCAAAGGGGAGCACAGTGCCAAGTGAAATGCACGCCTCCCTGACCCCTGCATCCGAAAGGCCGTGCCATGTCCCACAGGACATCAACAACTTAGGAAAGACTATGCTGGCCAAACGGTGAGCCCACAGGCAGGTCTAGGGCTGCCTCTGCCCCTCACAGCTGCTCCCCTGTGAATCCTGGCGCTCACCGAGACCATCTTGCCCTCAGAGGGCATGAAGGCAGGCCGGTTGCTGAGGCGCAGCTTGGTCTGCAGCGTGTTGAAGTTGATCTCCAGCTGGCACTTCTCCTGCACCTTGGGTGGCTTGTGCACGCGCCGGTAGTCGCGGAAGTCCTCCAGCTTCTGCTGCATCTCCTGGATAGTCTTTTGGGGCACACGGTCCTCCAGCCAGGGGATGGTGCGCCGGATCCACTCCAGGAGCTGTGGGCCCACAGAAGCCAGAGTGGCCTTTGTCGGGGGCCCTCAGAGTGCTGACGGGCTGTCCCCCAGCTTATGGGCACATGGGATCTGGATCTTTGAGGGCCCCACCTTAGGGGCTTGCCCCTGCTCCCCAGCCCAACTTCTACACAATTCCTGCTGGAACCCCCGACCCAGAACTCTGGGAGTGTAGCCCCCTCCCTATCCCTGCATCACTGTACTATTCTCTTGTTACTTCCTGTTCCTGCCTGTGCTTTTCTTTTTAAAGACAGGTTCGTGCTTTGTCATCCAGGCTGGAGTGAAGTGGCACGATCATAGCTCACTGCAGCTTCAACCTCCCGGGCTCAAGCCATCCTTCCATCTCAGTCTCCCAAGTAGTTGGGACTACAGGTGCCTACCTCCGAGCCTGGCTGATTTTTAAGTTTTTATAGAGAAGGGGTCTCAGTATACTGCCGAGGCTGGTTTTGAACTTGTAACTTCAAGCAATCCCACTTTAGCCTCCCAAAGTGGTGGGATGACAGCGGTGAGCCACCATGCCTGGCCCATGCCTTTGCTCTCAGTCTTTTCCCTCAGGTCCAAGAGGGGAGACCTCCACTCCCATGCCCCCGCCAAAAAGGTCCCCTTCCATGCTGTCACATGCCCCACTGCCGCTGTCTTCACTGAGCCCCACGCTGACAGCCTCACTGCTTCCGGGCTCACTACGTGCCTCAAGGACAAGGCCGACAAGCCCACCTGGCTCAGTCTGGCTAGGCCAGTGCGTGCACTGGGCCTGGGACATAAATTAGAAAATCAAATTGAAAATGAAACAAATATATACTTTTAGGAGCTACTCAGATTTTTGATGGAGTGAGGAAGGGTAACAAAAAATTGGACATTCTAAAACAATTCTAGGCCGGGCATGCTGGTTCACACCTGTAATCCCAGCACTTTGGGAGGCTGAGGCGAGTGGATCACCTGAGGTCAGGAGTTCGAGATCAGCCTGACCAACATGGTGAAACCCCATCTCTACTAAAAAAAAATACAAAAATTAGTTGGGCATGGTGGCATGCGCCTGTAATCCCAGCTACTTGGGAGGCTGAGGCAGGAGAATTGCTTGAACCTGGGAGGTGGAGTCTGCAGTGGGCCAAGATCGTGCCACTGCACTCCAGCCTGGGCAACAAGAGTGAAACTCCATCTCAAAAAAATAATAAAACAATTCTAGAAGAATAAAATCAGTTATCTGCCAGCACGGACAAGCTGGAGAAGTGGTTCCCAAATGCCAACTTCTGGCAAAGTGAGAAATTCAAGGACAGAAATACCTCTGTGTGGATACATTGTGAGGCGTGCTGCCAGCTGCCCTTTCTTGGCAACGGCTGGGGTTCTAAGAATAACCTTTTTACCTTATCTTGGTGTTAGAAGTGCTGGTGGTAACAGATGGTAATGTTTCTTTTTAAAACATCCGTAACTTGGCAAAATAAAAAGCTGGCCAGCTTAGGTTGGACATCAAATAGTTTTTCAAATTTTCCTGGTCTATGAGATAGGAAAATCTAGGAACCACTGGTTCTAGATGAGCAGTCAAACCACTGCTCTTTGGGAAATTTTATTTTATTTTATTTTTATTTTGATGGAGCCTTGCTCTGTCACCAGGCTGGAGTGCAGTGGCGCAATCTCAGCTCACTGCAACCTCTGCCTCCCAGGCTCAAGCAATCCTCCTGCCTCAGCCTCCCGAGTAGCTGGGACTACAGGTGTGTGCCACAACACCCGGCTAGTTTTTGTATTTTCAGTAGAGACGGGGTTTCACCATGTTGGCCAGGCTGGTTTTGAACTCCTGACCTCAAGTGATCCGCCTGCCTTGGCCTCCTGAAGTGCTGGGATTACAGGCGTGAGCCACTGCGCCTAGCCTTTTATTTTTTAAATATGGAGATTTCAAAAATGAAGAGCCTCCAGAAGAGATATACTAACCACCCTTGTTTCCAACTGAAGCATTGAGTTTGGGCTCTAGAGAAGGGCTGCCTGGGCTTGAAGCCCAGCTCTCTGTCCCACCAGTCATGTAACAGCAGGTACATGCCTGACCCTCCCTGGGCGTCAGTTTCCTCACTTGGAAAGGAAGATAATCTGAGTTCCTGTCTTGCTGGGCTGCTTGTGAAGTGCCTGCACAGGGCCTGCTATCCTGCTGGTTCCCAGGTCCCTCTCCATCCTTCTGAATCGCTCTCTCCAGGGCCAGGGCACGGGAAGAGGGGCTTTCACAAAGCTCCCCGGGTGATTCTAAAGCACTGAGGTGCCCAGGAAACACTGTCCCTGAGCATCTCTGTAGGAACCCAAGCTCGGAGCCCAGGGACTGAATGGCAAGGTGGCTGCCAGTCTGACCCTTAGCCTTGTGGAAGCAAATGGAGAGGTCACACACTGGCTGGCTAAATGCCATGGTCTGTGACCGCGTAGACTTTTCTAGGTCATCTCGCTGCCACACCTGCTTTCCCACTGCAAGAGTCACTGTGACCTCTGGCTGAGGGTAACGAGGTGGCCCTGACTTTCACTGGGGGGACACTCACGTCGCTGGCCAGCTTCTCGTAGTCCTCCATCAGGTGCTCGTTCTCTTGGTTGACAGCCAGCACCTTGCAGATCCGATTGGCGGCAGTTTCAGCCTGGAGGGGAGCGCACAGTCAGGGCTGCCTGGGGGCTGGCCACCCTCCCTCCTGACGGGCATGTCCCTTGAAAGCAGCTGGTCCAAGGCCCACAGAACTCCTCACAGAGGGGAAGGAGAGGAAGCACAGTTCCCGTGAGATGGTGCCCTGTCCCAACAGGCCTTGTTGGCATCCTCACTGCTAACTGCAAAATGCCCCTGGGTCCAGAGAGCCCAGACCTGGGAGGCACCGAGGAAGGTCGGGGAGCCCTCCCACTGCTGCTCGCAAACCCTCTAGTGCCCCACACAGAGGAGAGTGAGGCTGGATGGGTTGGCTGTGCTGGACCTAAGACCGTGGAGGAGTCTCTCCCGGTGGGAAGGTGAATGGATGGGAAGCCGAAAGCTGGAGAGCTGGGGGCAGCAGAGCAGAGGCGCCCGGGCCCCGGAGGAGCCTGGTGGTCCATGCACAGAAGCACACTCAGGCCTGTCCTCTCTCCTGCCTTGGAGGCAGGGTTAACAGGAGCTCCAGGGGGCAAAAGTCACCATCCATGGGGCAGAAAAGCACTGGGGCTTTGGAGGGTGAGAGTGGTGGACATAGTCCCTGGGCCTGAACTACAGGAGAGCATCCTGCCCTGTCCTGCTGTGGGGCAGTGAACAGTGTAGAGGAGGCGGGGGGTGCACACAGGGAGAGGAAAGACCAGGTACCTTTCAGGAAGCACAGAAAGGGTCCAAGAGGAGGAGTTGAAACGGCAACAGAACAGGAACAGAAAGAATGAGGAGGGTCTACAGAGTGATGGGGAAGGAAAATGGAGAGGCTTGGCCAATGGCTCAGAGCCAGCGCTGCAGGCAGCGATGCCCAGCCTCTCCCCTCCACGCACAGCACCTGGAGACAGGCGGGGAGGCGGCAGCTGGGGCTCATGTGAGTGCACACACACACGTGCACACCCCGCGCCATGCTGCGGGACACACACCCAGGGCCCCAGGCAGTGCTCCTCAGAGATGAGGTCCAGAAGGTTCCTCGGCCAAGGAACATGGGCCCCAGACCAGTGTGGAAAACACAGCCAGGGCTGCAGCTTGTGGGGGTCACAGAGGTCAGTCCCTGACTCCTAACTGGGCAGAGAAAACTGGCACCCGAAACTCAAGTCCACTCTGTGAGCACGGGGCTGCCACAGGGCAGGGGAATCATGTTTCACTGCTGAGTTCCCGCATCCAGCTTAGGGCTCGGTGCACTGCTGGTGCTCAGGGTTGCTGAATGAGTGAGTGAATAAAGGAACGAGGTGGGAACGCTTCGGTGACTGGAAATAAACGATTAGGACAGAATGGGCACACCAGCGCTAGGCCTGGGGTTCACTCTGCATTTATGAAACACGAACCCTAGAGAGCACTCTTGCAAGAGCTCGGACTGGGTCTCTGGGGAAACGAAGGCTGCAGGAGCAGCACCACGTGGCTGTCCTGAGGAGCACACAGGGAACCAGCACTTTCCTTCCCAACCGGCCAGCACCCTGCAGCCAGGCCTCCGCTACCCCCTCAGGAGAGGGGCCGGTGACAAGCCTCCAGGCCTAGCACCTCAGCACCCACCCATGCTGTCCTGGGCTCGCGTGCCAGTCCCTGCTCCCCCAAATCTCTCAGCGCCTCCACACTGGAGTTCAGCCTTAAGCACAGGGGAGCAGTGTGGGTAGAAGGAAAAGCAATCTGATGAGGCCATGTGGTGGGCAGGGGGCTGGCTCAGGGCCCATAGGGGTGAGTCCAACGGCAAACATGCTGTTAGTTGGGATCTATGGTGACGAATCGTCCACTGCTGCTGGTCCCTGCCCATCTTCCTGCCGGGGTGTGGGTCAGGGGTCCTCCCTCCACCCTCTTGGCCTATGCCCTCTAGCAGAACACTCCAAACACAAGCTCCAATCGCATGCTGAGGAGGTGAAGAGGCCTTTCTGGCCTGAGGTTGGGAAGAACCACGCTCCCCACCACTGTGACACCCCGGGCTGCTTACAAGGCACCTGCCATGCCAGACACTGTGCTAAGCCCTTTGCCTGCTTGTTTCACGCCCAGAGCAATCCTGTGAGACTGAACTACAGCAATGCCCATCTCACAGATGGGGTAGCTGAGGTCAAGTGACCTACCCAAGGTCACAGTACCAAGAGGTGGCAGAGTGGGGCCAAGCCAGACTGTCGGTGGGTAATGGACTTGCTAGACTGGGGGTTCGAAGCAGGGGGTCTACAGAAGGTACAGCCCCTGCCTTCTAGCTTTAGGAACAGCTCTCTGTTTCCCTAAAATTTAACTCCTCCTCGCTCAAATGGGGCTAACTGCGCCTAGCCCTCCTAGGGGTGTGCACAGGGGCCCTCTGGAAGCCTGTGCATGTGAACGGCTTGGAGAGCGCCTAGTATGCAGTACATGCTCAGTAAACAAGAAGCGATTCCACCTCCTCCTTTGCACCTGTGCCAACTACTGACACCAAAGCAGGCATCGGGAGTGTTGCCTGAGGTACTTAGACCACAAGGCAAGCGGGGGGAGCAGTGCTTGGGCCTCTGCGTGAACGTTGAGGGCCCAGCAGGAGCCACGGGGCAGCATGAGGTCAGCCGGGCGCAGGAGGGCGGCTGCTGGCACGCACCCTCTGCGGGCTCTGTCTGGCCTCTGGAAGGCCGGGACCGTGAGTGCAGGTTGCGCTGCACACGCTGAGCCTTTCCTGGCAAGAAGGAGCTGCAGAACTGGGGTAAAGCCCAGTGCTCCCCACGAAAGGGCCCGGCAGGGGCAGGCAGGTGGTACAGATGATGGACAGGGCAAGTGGGAACGCTGGGCGGTCAAATCCCAGCTCTGCCATTGACTGATGTAGGGCTTCAGTTTCTCCGCCTGAGAGCCTGGGATGCCACTACCCACCTCCCAGGGTGGGCTGTGTTCAGAGGTCTGTGGCTCCTCAGCATAGGCCCAGCACCAGCTAGGCGGGAAACCTGCCCCAGGGGACCCTTCCGAGTCAGAGCCCAGCAGGGTCAGTCTGTGTGGTGTGGTGGCCCGCAGCCTGGCCAGGGCTCCAACCACAGATGGCCGGTGGTGACGCAAGGGCAGTGGTGAAGGCAGGTCTGCAGCCCCAGCAGCGAGGTGTGCCCGGCCCAGCTCACCTTCTGAGCCCCCGAGAAAGCGTGGTAGAAGCAGGACACGTAAGTCATGATGGCCTTCTCATCTGGCCTCAGAGTACCCACAATATCTGCACAGAGAGAGAGAGAAAGAGAGAGAGAGGCAGGAGAGAGTGAAAGATGCAGGGAGGGCGGCCGGGCCGGCCCGAGGCTCATGCGGGAGGAAGAGCGCTTGCTCTGGACTGGAAGCCAGCCCCAGGCCTGCGTGGACATGTCTTGCGGGGTTCTGTGGAGTCCAAATGGGGTGCATTCCTTTTCTAACCAGGCCTGGGCTGGAGACAGACTAGCTGTGAGCCCTATAAAGGCAGCTTTGTTTTGGGCTGGAGGAGTCAGTTGCTAAATGATCTGTCTGAAAATGTGAGTGAGCACCTACTACCACGGAGTAAGACCCTTAGGGTCTCCCATGGCCCTAAGTAAAACAAGAATTCCTTATCCCACACCACAAGGGTCTTGTGGGGCCTGGCCCATCACTGCTTGTCACTGCTTGTCACTCACTCTTCTCTAGCTGGTCCTTGAAAAAGCCAAGCTTCTTCCTGTCTCAGTGCCTTCGCCATGCTTCACCTTCTGCCTGGAACACCCATGCCCCAGGCTGCATCTAGCAGCTCCTGTTGCAAGTACCTGCTCACGACACCCCTCCATGTTGACAGTGCCAGCTGAAGGTCACCCCAGTCATCTCTGTCCCCCCATCTAGCCCCATGTTCTCTATTCCACTCCTGTGACAGGCCAGGTGTGTCTCTCTCACTAGCATGGAAGTACCCTGACAGCAGGGACCTTGCCTGACCCAGTCACCAGGGTATCCTCAATGCCTGGAAAAGCCTGGCACAGACGAGGTACCCAACAGGTGTGTGAGCTAAGGCTGAGGGGGCAGCAACACCAGGGAGCAGGGGGTGGCTTCCAGTCAGAGAGAGGCCACTGCTGTCTGCAAGAGAAATGAGGTGAGCACGGGAGGCGAGAGGCAGCGGCGGCATTGCGCGGTGGCGGCGAGGAGGGCCTGCCTGGCCCTGCCCGGTACCTTCTGCGCTCCCGAAAAGGCATGGTAGAAGCTGGACACATAGGTCATTATGGCCTTCTCGTCGGGGCGGGCCGTGTTCACGATGTCTGCAAGTGAACGACAAGGGTTAAACTGCCCGAGGCAGGCGGGCGGGGTGGAGGCCTCACTCACTGGGAGCCACGCCTTAGGGGAGAGGGACCCGCAGAGTGACTGTGACTTGGGTGGGCTCAGCCACACCCTCAGCCCCGCCCTCTTCCATGGCTCTGGAAAGGACAAGCCTGTGGGAAGCGGATTAAAATGAGGCCACTTTTGTTCTCTGAGAATGGCCTCAAGGAGCAGCAGGACAGTCAACTCCAAGGGCCACCAGAGGCCAGAGACACAGGTCCCTGCTGGGGCAGTGCATGGCTGGGAAACGGAGCAAAGCCGGAAAGGAAAAAACAAAACACTCCACTTTGGCAGGCTCCATACTCCATGCCTGCTGCAGGTAGGGAGGGAGAGGCCAGGCTTGCTCGCAGGAAGCCTGGAGCACCCCTCCTCAGCCACCTTGCCCCTCCCCGGCCCTGTGGAGATGCAGTCTCAGGAGAGCTGATCCTTCAGCTCCCCCTCCCCATACCCTTCTCCATCCCTGAAGGAATCTGGCCAGCCCAGGATGTCCTCGCTTCGTCTCCCAGGGCAACACGGCTGTCCCGAGTTCACTCGGAATCATTCAGCCCTTCTCGCTGGCTCTGCCAGCTCCCCGAGGTGACCCAAAGCTCTGACGTGCCCACAGGCCCTTGCCCGAGGCCAGCCCTGGACAGATAAGGCCATCAGGAAGCACAGCGCTGGCTGAACAGAAGAGATGACTCACCCTCTGCATCCAGCATCTTGGGGATGTCGAGGTATTTCTCGGCCACTTCGAAGGCATTGTTCAGGTTGGTGACAGGGTCGTCCTGGAAGGAGGCAAGTGGGGACAGCAACAAGAACTCCGTCAGGGCAGGGTGCGGGAGTAGGAGGCAGGCAGGGCTGGCCCAGAGGGAGAGACCCGGGAAGGCTAGGGCTGGGGGTTTCTTCAGGCAGTTCTCGGCCATGTGTGGTGTGTGAGCGGGAGGGCACCGACTGGATAAATTCAATTCCTACTCACAGGAGTGCTTCGTGAAATCTTTGGGGGAAAAACCATGGGCTTTTTCTCCAGAAAAATGCAGGTGTACCCTTTTCATACAATTTCCAGCCACCCACAGACTCTAGATTAAGCCCCCTGTCCTAAACCCTGGTTTTCATGTTGACTGGAAGATGTGGGCCAGACCCGAGAGAGCACTGGGGACTGGGTAAGGAGAGCAAACCGAGAGCTCCCAGGTCCCAACCACCCTGAAGTGTCCCCCAGCCCCCTCAAGGGCTCCCCGCTGCTTACAGGACTAAAGCCCACTGCACCCCAAGTCTCCCTGGCCAGGACCTAGGGCTCTTGCTCGCTGTGGCTGGAATGGGCTGGGTGCCGTCTGGTGCCTCCCCTAGGAAGCCCTCCCCTGGCTCTAAGCTGCCTCTTATTCTGGGGCCCTTCCGGGCTCCTGCTGGCTCGGGGTGCACTAGCCTCCTCCGCAGCACTGCTCTGACCTCATGCCCTGCCACCCCATTCAGCCTGAGCACATGTGCATGGCCTGGTGTGGTGCTTTGCTTTGGACACAATTTTTGTCCTGCCTTCCCCCATGAGGCTAGCAGCTTCTGGTGGGCAAGGCCTGGGTTCATACAGGCTTTGTATAGGCAAATGAGAGCAGGACCCTGTATGGGCAACATGGGCTAGTGATGGTTTGGAATTCCTTGCCCTCTGCCCCTTTGGGCAGAGGAGGTTCTAGAATCCAGAAGGTTGAGGAAGGGGAGTTATAAAGCATGGCTGGCCAGGCCCTTAAATAACCCTGGGTTAGTTGCAGTGTCATAGAGGGAGAGTGGACAGTCCCCGAGGGGAATAAGGGAGGTGAGAGTCAGCCACCAAGCCAGAGGTCGCGGGAAGCCTGCACAAGGCTCTCCCAGGCCACCCATCTGCATGCAGAACCGGGATCTGGAGGCTGGCGATGGATGGACATGGGGATGGTGACCCAGAGTTAGGGGGTCAGACAGGGCGCGTCTGTGGGCCATCAAGGGGAGCTCGAGACACCCACCTTCCTCAGCTTGTCATACTCAATCAGCTCTGGTCTGTGCCGGTGGATCAGGGCATTGAAGGCAAGACCGTCCTTCCAGCTGAGGAAGGAAAGGCAAAGGTTATAGGAAGGCCCGCTCACTGTCACAGAGTGCCGTATGGCCCTGCGCACCCACAGCAATGACTAATTCTCATTCACTGAGGTCTGGCCTGTGCCAGGCACTGCATGGAGACGGTGTGGCAGAGAGGCTGCGAGCATGACCTCTGGGGCCAGGCAGTCTGAGATCAAATCCTGACTCTTCTGCCTACTGACAGCGTGATCTCGGGTAAGCCAGGCTATCTCGGTGTCCACATCTGTACAATGGGGATAGTGACATACCTGCTACGTAGGGCTGCTGTGCGGACTAAATGAGTAAATGCTTGGATCAGTGCCTGACTCATGACAACTTTACAACTGCTAGCACCTTCCATGGGAGGCCGCCCTGAACCGGACAGACCACTTCGGGGGAGGTGGCCACTGCAGGAGGCTGGTGCCTGTGCTGTGTGGCCTCCACACCCTGGTGGACCTGACTTACAGGAAGGCCAGTCCGTGGGCTGGCTAAATGCCAGGATTTCGCTTGGCACGCGGGTCTCTGGAGGAGAGGGACCTCCCCAAGGCCACAAGTTGGTCAGTTACAAGCTAGATGGGTCACATTCTCCTCCCTGAGACCCTTTAAGGGTTGGTTCCCTCTGAGGTCAAGCTCGATGTCACCTCCTCAGAAAGGCCACCCAGGGAACTTTCTTCCTCTGACTTCCCTGTCTTTGTGCAGCACTTCTCACTGAAGTTATGCTGCGGGATTACTGGCCACTGTGTTCACAGCTGGTCCCGCGCTGTGGCGTAAACTTCCCACAAATGGGGACTTTGTTTGGGTGCCACTGTATCTCCACTAGTGGCATGCAGCGGGCATGCTAGATACTTACTAGTTGAAGAAAATGAATGGAAGCTATAGGAAGATTCAGTCAGTTAGTGGCAGGGAAAAAAAGGAGACACGCAGAGAAGAGTGACCAAGGGAGGGACCACATGCTATCAGGGTGAGCACGATGGGAAAAGCCCTCTGCACCCATCGAGGGTCCCTGAGAGCCTGAAGCCGCTGCATATCCCACGAGGCCCTGCTCTTCATTCCTGTGCGGGCCATCCAGGAGACTCAGAGGGTGGAGCCACAGGGCAAACTGGATTTGACCTCAGGGCCGTCCCCAGAGCCAGTGTTCCCAAACACTGGGCAGGCCCGCCTCTTGCCACCCCCTGGACCGCATGCGGCACTGCCCATGCCCGCCTCAGCTATGGCAATGGTGGACATGTCTCATCTCCCACTCACTTTGAGGGAAGCAGGTTCATGGCGGAGCTGAGGCTTGTTCATCTTAGCAGCCACAGAGTACGTTTTTCCCCAACACAAAATTCAATAGCAACTCTAAAAACAATTCACTCTTGAGCTGTCAAAATAAAGAGGCCAGGAGTAGGCAGTGGCTCACATCTGTAATCCCAGAACTTTGGGAGGCCGGGGTAGGAGGACTGCTTGAGCTCAGGAGTTCAAGTCCAGCCTGGGCAACACAGGGAGACCCCGTTCCTACTAAAAATGAAAATAAAAAATTAGCCAAGTGTGGCTGCGTGCACCTGCAGTCCCAGCTACTTGGGAGGCTGAGAAAGGAAGACCACTTGAGCTCAGGCCAAGGCAGCAGGGACGAGCGACCGCACCACTGCACTCCAGCCTGGGCGACAGCACAAGACCCTGTCTCAAAAATGAAGAGCTTTATTGTTGCTTCTGAGAGTCACCTTGCCTGGGGACAAAGAAGGTTCTATTAGGCCAGCGACAGGGCTGACCTTACGGCCTTCAGCCAGGATGGCTGGGAAACTGCCTCCTCTTCCTCAGAGAGGACCAGGTGACCTTCCCATGGGCTTGTAGGGCCCATGGCCAGGGAGGGGCTGACTGAGGGCTGGCATCTCACAGACCATGACAAAAACACAGGAAACAGAGTAGGTGGGAGGAAGGATCTCAGGTTCCTAGAGGAAGGGAGAGGATGAGCAGGACTGGTGCTCACCTGATGTGGAAGTTCTGCACGTTGACGTTCTTATACGGGGCTGTCTTTCTCTGGCACCAGAGAAGAAGCCCTTCCTTGGCCGAGGTCTCTGCAAAACACACAAAGACAGTGAGCACTGGCTCAAAAATAAACCCTCAGAACTCAGCTCAAGTTGGATGGGACTTTCAGCCTCAGGCCTAGGGGTCAAACAAAACCCAAGGGGAGAGGACATCAGTCCTAACAACAGCAGCAGTGATAGCAGTGAGACGGCTACTCCCATTCCGGATGCAGACGGATGCTGCCAGGCCCAACTGCCAGGACACACAGCCCTGCTTAATCCTCATGGCCCCAAGGAGAGTCGCTTGACCAGGGCTGCCCTAGGAGGTGGTGGTGTCAGGGCCTGAATCTGTGCCGTGTGCCTGGCCACCAAGCCCGTGCCTTTCACCACCAGAACACACTGCAGACAAGCCCTTGACACTGGCCTTGGCCTCTTTTGAACAAGGTGAAAAGTCAGCTGTGGAGAAGCCTAGGGGGCCCTTCTGTTCCCCGTGGATAGCTCAGCTGTCCTCACAGACTGGGAGCCCTTCAAGGGCAGGAAGCATATCTCTCCCGGTCATCACTGCGACCCGGCACCTGGGAGCTCCTGCACGCTGGCCCAGGTGGCTCTGCCCATCCTGTGTGCACACAGGTGCTTGAAGGGAAGCAAAATCGTCCATTCCTGGACGGCATGAGCTCATAACGGGTCCATGGGGACCAAGTTTCAAGGACAGGGATGTTGAGCAAACACAGAACCAGGCCCAGACCCAACTCTCTCACTAGTCTGTTCTGGGACTTGGGTTCCTGGACTGTAAAACGGGCCCAGCTATCCTTGCCCATCTCATGAGGGTGGCATGAGGGTCCACTGAGATGAGGCTGCAAGAGCAAAGGCACTCAGAGGGCACTGCAGCCAAGAGGTGGGCGGCTGGGAGCAGCCTCCCTTCACCTGCCACCCACTGACTACTCCTGCGAAGGTCAGGCCCTGTGAGCGACCCCAACGAAGCAGGAAGAGGCTTGAAGCACGAAGACCACACTTCAGCTCTCCTCTAACCTGCCCTGACTCAGGTGGGAAGCGGGCGCAGTACAGGTGGCTCTCACCTTCCACGGAGATGTCCTGGATGGCGAACCTAAGGATGATGGTCCAGATCATTCCCAGGGTCATCTTTGCGTTGCCGTCCACAATCTCTGCACACAGGGAAGGGGGCAGAGGACAGAAAGTCGTTAAAACCAAAGTGAGGCTCCTCCGCCCAATCTGAAGGTGACCTTCCAGCCCTATCTAGAGAAAGGCTCCAAACCACCCCCGGCTGCATCTCCCAGGCCCGTCCTCCTCCCTCTCTCAGGAGAAAATGCATGGAACAGTCTCTGGGCAGCGCTGTTCCAGAGCCTTCTGCTACTGAGCGCCTGCAGGCTTCTGGCCACAAGGGTCCCTGGCCCCGCAGCCAGCTCCTTCTCCCGACCCAACTCAAAAAACCACTCCTCCAAGAGGCCAGTCTCAGGTGTGTGGCCTCTGTTCACACCTCTCTCAACTCTCAGTGCTCTGTACATTTCTGCCTTCATCTGCATACCTCCTGACTACAGGGGAGCACCGCAGGCCCACGCTCTCAGGGCAAAGGTAGTCTTTTTCATCTCTCAGTCAGCAAATGTACACTACATTATTATTTATTGCAAATCTGTCCACTTCCTTCCAATCCCACTGCCAACACTCTCTTCCAAGCCACTCTCATCTCCAGAGTTCAATGAGGCTACCTCCTGTGTACCCTTCCTGCCCATAATCCACATCGACACAGCAGCCAGCATGGTCGGTTTTCTTCTTTTGAGACAGGGTCTGGCTGGCTGGATGGAGTGCAATGGTGTAGTCACAGCTCACTGCAGCCTTGACTGCCTGGGCTCAAGCAATCCTCTTGCCTCAGTCTCCTGAGTAGCTGGGACCACAGACGCACGCCACAACACCTGGTTAGTTTTTAAACTTTTTGTAGAGGCTGGGTCTTGCTGTTACCCAAGCTGGTCTCAAACTCCTGCTCAAGTGATCTTCCCGCCTTGGCTTCCCAAAGTGCTGGGACTGCAAGTGTAAGCCTCCATGCCTGGCCCACAGGGAAAAGGCTTGCCCTGAAGGCCCAGGCTCTGCCATCCTCCCAGATTTCTCTACCTGCATCCTCTGGGCAAGCCAGGCTCTTTCTTGCTTTGAGATGTTCACACCTTCTGTCCACCCACAAAGCATGCCCCTAGCCTGCAACCCTCAACTGGCTGGTCCTTCTCATCGTGCAAGCTTCTGCTTGTGCCACCTCTCACTGTGGCTTCCCTGACTGCCCGTCCCAAGCAGCTCCCCCACCCGTCACCCCGTTCCTCCCTCCCTGGCCCCTGTGCTGCCCCCAAGCCATCACTATGTGAAATCACGTGTTGGATGGGCTGTTTACTTGTTCACCATCTGCCAGCCCTCATGACGGCGAGGCTGCTCTGACCACCACTGGATCCAGTGCCTGGAAGGCCGGTGAGGAACAAGCATGACTGCTGTGTGGTCAGGAAGGGGAGAGCACAGGCCCGAGGCCAGGTGGCCAGGCTGTACGCTTTCTGAACTAACCTAAAAACAAACATTTGCGGCCAGGTGTGGTGGCTCACACCTGTAACCCCAGCAATTTGGGAGGCTGAGGCGGGTGTGGATCACCGGAGGTCAGGAGTTTGAGACCAGCCTGGCCAAGATGGTGAAACCCTGTCTCTACCAAAAATACAAAAATTAGCCTGGCATGGTGGCAGGTGCCTGTAATTCCAGCTACTCTCCTGAGGCAGGAGAATTGCTTGAGCCCAGGAGGTTGCAGTGAGCCAAGATTCCACCATTGCACTCCAGCCTAGAAGACAAGAGTGAGACTCCATCTCAAAAAAAAAAAAAAAAAAAAAACTTGCTGTAACTTCTCAAAAGAGGGGCTTGGACCACACCTTCCTCAGCCTCAGCAACTAAAGAGAAAAACTTTCTCTGCAAGGCCCAGGGCAGCTGTGTGACTGAGGCTGGATGAGAGAAGGCAGTGCCTCATCCCGGAGTCCACCAGTCAGGCATGCCTAGGGCAGTCCTCCCCACTTGTCAACATGCCAGATGCAAGGAGCACGGCGAAGGGGCTTCCAAAGAAGACAGAGGGGCTCCACTGCTGCAACTACTCTTGGGAAGGGCTGGGCACAGGGGTGAGTTGCAGAGCTAACTGCAGAGCTGGAGGCACAGGACACCACGGGAGACCCTGCTCACTGACCTCTGAGCAGAACACCCCAGGGCAGGCTTGCTTGGAAGCAGGTGGAGAGGTCACAGAGAAGATGGGGCCCACCTTCCCCCGGGGATACACCCAGAGGAAGGGGGTGTCCATGAGCCACAGCTTTCGGGTTTTCGGAGGAGGAAATATGCTCATTCTGCTGCCCAGAGACAGGGGAGGGACCCAGTGTCCACCCTGCCCTAGGGTTCAGAGCCCCAGACCCAGAAACGGAGCAGCGCCACCTGCCCCTTAGTGGAGCGAGGCAGCTCGAGCCTCAGGAAATCTATGCTGTGTACCTCCCGAGGGCTGGGCCTGCAGAGCTGGGCAAGGCCGCAGCTCCCCAGCCCAGCGGGCACCGGTGCAGCTGGTCACGGAGGGCTCATGGAGTTCTGGTGAGGAGAGGATGGCGTTTCTCATGACACATCCACCAGCTGCTTCTCTGACCTGCAGCTGTGCCTCTGGTCCCTCTCATCACCCCTACGGGAAGCCAATAATCCCGCGAATGCCCGATCATGTGGAAGGACAGGGGGACAGCGTGGGGTGGGGTTCTCAGGTGCCTTGAGCCCCAGGAACGCCTCCATTAGGCTTTGTTCCGAGGCCCCACGGTCGCAGGGACTAGGAGTGAACCAATTTGGGCATGAACAGAGATTTTTTTTTTTTTTTTTTGAGATGGAGTCTCGCTCTGTCGCCCAGGCTGGAGTGAAGTGGCACGATCTTGGCTCACTGCAAGCTCCGCCTCCCAGGTTCACGCCATTCTCCTGCCTCAGCCTCCTGAGTAGCTGGGACTACAGGTGCCCGCCACCGCGCCTGGCTAATTTTTTGTATTTTTTAATAGAGACGGGGTTTCACCGTGGTCTCGATCTCCTGACCTTGTGATCCGCCCGCCTCGGCCTCCCAAAGTGCTGGGATTACAGGCGTGAGCCACCGCGCCCGGCCCAGAGAACATTTTTAGACCAAGTTTTTCTCCAAATGAAAACTGATGACTGTCATGGGTCTCTCCTCTAACCCCTCCTGTATTTACAGACTAGCATTTGAGCAAAATAAATGCAGCTGTGAGAAGCAGAAGGCTGGAACAGAGCCCGGAGGAAAGATCCATGCAAGGACAGAAAATCTCAGGGCCTGACTGAATTTTTGGGTTGTGATTTTTTTAAACAAACACCAACCACCTCGACTGTGGCATGCAAGGCTTGGCACCCCTCCTCGCAGAGGTCCTGGGCCAGGGCAGAGCCTTGGAACTCAGTACACACATTCTGGCCCAGAGTCTTGGCCAAACTCTCAGAGCCCTGTCATTAACGGCAATTAGTTTACTTTGTTTTTCTAGAAGCTGGGACAACATGGATGTCAGGGTGAAGAATCCTTACTCTGACTAATGAGCGGAACTGTGAGCCCACGCTGCTGGGGAGCTTCTGAGCTCCATCAGACCTCGCCTGTCTCTAAAAGCGCCTGGGAGCTCAACCCAGGGGCCCCTGCTGAGAGCCTGCTGCTCTAGTGAGGCTACAGTCCCGGTTATCTACATGGGGCCCAGGAGGATCCTGGGGTGGTCAGAGGTGAAACTCTCCAAGCCTGTGCACACAGGGCAAAGTCTGGGCACTGACCTTTGGCCATGCACTCCCTGCCCCGATGCCTGACACGGGGCCTCCAGTCCCCTTCTCTGATATTGGGAAGGGCATAATGAGAAAAGTGTTCCTGGTACAGAGAGAGGCTGTGGCACGTGTTTGTTACCGTCTGCTGAGCCTGGCACAAGGAGAACCAGTGAGGGCGACCTGAGTGCAAGTCAAAACCATTCCACCCCCTACAGAAGCTACCGCCCCCATGGTTGGGTGGGTTGCACTTCCTAGATTTGGACTGTGTCCACCGGATTTTTCCAAGGGGCTGGGGGAGCTTGTGGGCCCAGCATCGTATCAAGAGCAGTTGTTGGGATCACTGCTGAGTATGTACTGGGGCTCTGAGTGCCCCAAGCACCCTACAACCAACAAAATTTCTCTTCAGAATGCAGATGTGCCTCAGAGCCTGAAGGTCAGAAATTGAGCAGGATCCTCACTGCTCCATCTCCAGCTCACCTTCTGCCCCGATAGAGACCAGCTTGACGCCTTTGCTGGCAATAAAGTCCAGTGCTTTGTTCACGTTGTTGATTTTGTGCACTCTCATTTTCCCCCGCTCCGGCTTAGGTAACCGCTCCCCTGAGAAATGCACAAAGAGAAAAGAAGAGGGGGCGAGACAGAGAGAGAGAAAGGGAGATAGGGAGAGAAGCTTTAGAGTCTCCTCTGTTCACCAAAACCAGGTTCCCCTGCTGGACCACCAGGCCACTCCGGCCCCACCCACCCGGCCGCCGTGCAGCTGCTAAGGGGTGCCCTCTCCCCCCCAGGAGCAATGAGGCAGCTGGGTGGGCAGCGTCTCTGGGGACTGCTGTGGCCGAGCACCTGTGCCAGGGCTGGGCCGCACTGTGTGGCTGGGAGCCTTACCTGATATGACCTCCAGGAGCAACATGAGCTTCAGCCCGTCTCGGAAGTCCTCGTCGATGTTCTCAATCTGCGTGCCTGCCTTCCGCAGGTGGGAGTTGCACCACGCCGTGAAGGTCTGAGGAGGCAGAACAAAGGGTAGTGCACAGAGTCAGCCTGGCTGTCGGGCTCTTTCCACACACCTGCCGGGCTGCAGCCCTGACCTCAGGAGAACTGCAGCTGCCACGGAGCACTCACCTACACACACCGCACATGCCCGATACACACATTGTTTCTGATCCTCACAGTGACCGCGGGAGGCAGATGTGAGGAAACTGAGGCTTCAGGTGATGAATGACCCACCACGAGACCATCCAGGTGGTAAGTGGCAGAGCTTGGATTTGAACCCAAGTCTGTCAATTTTGGCAACATGTGCTTTTTCCACACTCCCAAGCTGCCTCAAGGAAGACCAGTACAAACATCAGACTGGTGCCTCAGCCCACCACCGGCTCACTTGGTCACATAAACATGACTGAGCACCAGGCTCGGTAGTGTGGAATCAACAGGTCGGGCTCCTGCCCTCACGGGGCTTGTTTTCTTGATGAAGGCCAGCCCTTCATTTGCCAGCCAGACCCACGTGCCCCAGCTGGACCCTGGCTTCCTTGACCGGCGGCTGCTCTTCTCAGGCAGGAGCTCAGGCTGCCGCGTTCCAATCATGTGCACAGATACAACCCAGAACAGGAAAGTGGCAGGAAAAGAAAAGCTCCCATAAACGCAGGATTTCCTCAAGTCTCTCTTTGAGCTTGGGCAGCCCAGCAGCAAGCCCTCCCAGGAAAGGCCAGGAACACAGACCCTCTGAGCCCTGGGCATATGCCTACATGCCTGTGTCGTCTGGCTTTCTGTGAGCAAGATGCCGCCGCCCCTCTCTCCTGGAGAACATGCCATGCCCCATCCCTCCTATTCTTTTGTTGTTGTTGAGATGGAGTCTCACTCTGTCACCCAGGCTGGAGTGCAGTGGCGCAATCTTGGCTCACTGTAACCTCCACCTCCCGGGTTCGAGCGATTCTCATGCCTCAGCCTCCTGAGTAGCTGGGAATACAAGCGTATGCCAACATGCCCAGTTAACTTTTGTATTTTTAGTAGAGATGGGGTTTTACCATGTTGGTCAGGCTGGTCTTGAACTCCTGGCCTCAAGTGATCCAACCGCCTCAGTCTCCCAAAGTGCTGGGATTACAGGCATGAACCACCGCGCCCGGTTCCTATTTTTAAGACTCAGTGCAGCTTAGAGGCTGGAAGGCAAGTGGGAGGCAGGCCCTCCTCACCAGGATTAGGCAGCCGCATCTAAGGAAAATGTTTCGGAGGACCAACTGGAAGGGAAGGAAGGTACTAAACAAGAAGTCTAAGTCCCTGGCCCTAACAGACCAACGATGCTGACAGGGCATAGGTACACCCAAGCACGGGGCATGCAGCCTCCTGGTGGTGCCCAGCTACTCAGCCCCCTGCAAGCTGGGGCATGCTCATAGACATTAGAGCCACAGAAGATCTCAGATCAGTTAACGTCAACACGCCCAGGCGCCTTCAGGGAAACCAGCCTACGCACCCTCCCGCAACAGGGCCTGGGAAAAACCCCAAGTGTCTGCTTCTTATAGGAACCCCTGTACCCCATCCTCTCCATCTGCAGGGGCCAGTGTAGAAGTGGGCAGACAGCCAGGGACACACAAGAGCACATTCCACGCCCCGGGTGCAGGCGGAGGCCATGCGGAGCACAAGGGGCTTCCACGGAGGCTCTGGCCAAGCACCATGTGTTTTGACAACTGTCGCCAGCCCTGCTCATTCAGGGAGACCCGACATAAAGCCCCTCGCAGACAAAGCAGCTGCCTAATTAATATGCCGTACCACAGTGTGGACCCAGCATGGGGCTTCCTTCCAAATCCGAACGGGGGCAAGCGTGGACAGCTAGACCACCCCTGCCCCACCTCTCGCCATGGAGAATTCCTCTACCTGGGAGACAGAGACCCCCTCCTGGTGGCACGACGCTGTTCCTCCACTAAAGATACCTCTGCTCCGCCATGTAGCCAGCCCTGGGCATCCCTCAAAAGTCAGGCCAAATGCTGTGCCTGGACGGTACCTGCACCATGGCCTCCCTGACCCGGGTCTGCCTCGGACGGCCTCCTCCCTGCAGATCGCATCATGCCCGTGCTCTCTGGTCTCTAACAGTTCTTGTCTCCCACCCTCCCATGGCTATGAGCTCCTTGAGGGGAGGGGCCCCAAAGTAGGTTCTCATTACGGAGCATACTAACTCACCTTCCCAGCCTCCCCCATACAACGCTGAATTCAGAGAGCCAGGGCAGGAACCCTGCTTACACCACTCATGCGGACATGCCACCCAACCTTCCTAACTTCCATTTCCTCCTCTGCAACGTGGGGATGAAGATCCCACCTAGGCCACGAGCAGTGTGAGGACTTAAGGTGGCCATGCCTGTAGCGTGCATGGCAGTGCTCAGGAAGTGGCAGCTCTCTGGATGGCCCTGTGCCTCCCAGGGTCTCCTCCCTCCCTGCCCTGGTCTCAGGAGTCCTGCCCACCCCTTTCACAGCGTGCCTGCTCTGTCCCCGGCCCGCCCTCAGCACCACGCAGCCCTTGGCATCTCTCCCGTAGCATCCCCCAGTCACTTTTAGTCTTATTGGATGTTCCATGCACATGAGCTCTCTTTCCTACCATGTGTGAGCTCCAGGGGGTGGGAAGTATGGCGCCTGCGCCTTTACAGCCCCAGAGCACTGCCAGCCTTGATGGCGGGCAGCAAGCAGGTGTGGAGCCCAGCAGCCCTGCAGAGCAGAGGGCAGCAGCAAATGGGCTGGGAAGGAAATGGCCATGGATGGTAGGCCTCTACTCTCACGTGTGCCTGAGAGCAGGCGCTGCTGGGCAGCAAAGTAGCCAAGACACATCCCACAGCCTGAGGACACAAGAGGGCTGTTCCCCGAGGTCAAGGCCCCGTGCTCTGGTGTTGCCAGGCCCAGACCTAGGCACCTGGGCTGCAGGGAGGGCCGGGCACGTGTGCAAACAGCACCCCTCACAGCCTCAGCCTGTGTAGGCTGCTCCTGCAGGCTCTGCAGGGGCACAGACCTGGGTTTGGGTTTGAATGCCAGCCCCTTGGCTTACTCATTCCATGTTTCCAACCAAGTGACTTTACCTACTTAAGTCTGTTTCCTTCCCTGTAAGATGGATTTATCAGAATCTACCTCCTGCAGTGTGCTCTAAGAATTAAACAGGGAAAATACATTTAAAGCATCTGACAGGCTCCTTGGCATAAATTAAGAGCCAGATGAATCACACGCATGTGTGTTCATGTACACACACGCACAAGCACGCGCTGAGATCCAGTCTCTTCTCTGCAAAGGCCCTCAGACCACCCACTGGTATGTAGGGAAAATGGGATGGCAGGAGACCCTCTGTGGATGGCCCCACCCCACCCTGTGGAGGCTGTGAACAAACCTCGCCGCTTGGGTTCTGGCCGCCTGTCCTCAGAGGGGCTGCTGCACTACCCGCCCTCCATACATACACCCCAGCTGTGCTCATCTTCTCTGGGTAGCAAACAAGAGCTCTGGCTTGGGCGTCACACAGGTGTGGATTCACATCTTGCCTCTGCCACTGAGGCCTCAGGCAAGCGATAAGCCTCAGTTTCCTCACTGATAAAAACCGAGAGGTTAAGATAGAGATTAAACACAAGGATGCCATGTCAATCACTCAGTGATGTGTTAAACAAGTGTCAAAGGAAGGTCCGCTCTGAAATCAATGGTAACTCTTCCATGTGCTCTGTCTTCCTGACTGACGCAGGCAAAGCCCCAAGCACAGGTGCTCACTCGCCTGGCCTGGATGATACAGAACAGAACTCCCGCTCAGATCTGGAACTGACACAGCCTTGGTGAACCCCACTGATGTGCTCCTATCCTCACCCCATGTCTTGCTTTGCCCTGTTTTGTCCTCCTGGAAGATGAGGGGCATCTACTGACGTCAGAGGTTCACAAAGCCCTCAGCTCTGGTGAGGAGAGAGCCTGCACTCACAAGGCCACCCCTAGGAACAGGTCAACCACGACGACCACTTCTCCATGCAGAGAGACTGGTGAGTAGGAGCTGGAGTTCGAATGGGACATTAAAAATTCATCGCTTTTTCTACTTGGTTACAAAAATAACACACTGCTTCCATCCTTCCTCTCCCTACCCGGTTTAGACTATGCTGCGTGGGGTGGATGGTGTGGAGAGGTGGTTTCTATAGATGGAGGCCCTATGCGCCCACGATGCCGCCCTCCACCATGCAGAATTCTCAGAATGTGGGCAGCCGACTTCATGATGCCCCAGGCCGCCATGGGTCCGCACCTATTCATTCCCTGGACAAGCATGTGCTGGGTATCAGCAGAGGGCCAGGCCCTGTGCCGAATCCATAACAGTGAGCAAAAGTGGACACTCTCATGAGGCTCCAGGTCTGATCTCATTAATCAAGCAATCAGTTCACTCCAGAAATAACGCCCTTAGGAAAAGTGGTAATAACAACAGGAATAACCGCAGCAGACACTTCCATAGAGTCTACTAGGGGCAGGGACGGCTCCAGGCACTTGGTCACTTACTAATTCTCTCACCCTCGTAATCATCTCTGGAGGGAGGTGCTAGTACTACCTCCATTTTACAGATGAGGAAAAGGAAGTCCTGAGAGGTGAAGTGGCTTGCTCCCATCAGTCACGCACTGGAAAGTTACAGAGCTGGGTTTACAGCCAGGTGCTGGGCTCCCGGGGCCATGGGGTGTTCTGCCTAGTTTGTGTCCCCTCCCCTGCGATGGGAGCTGAAGAATGCGGTCAGCATGGTGGCGGAGGGGGGCCGGCGGGCATCAAGCGAGTGGCGAGGCAGACACAGAAAGGTGTCCCTGAAGAGGTCATTCTCAAACTCTGAGCTGAAGGATGAGGAGTTAATAAGACAAAAATGAGGGAGACCTTCCAGGTACTGGGAAGAGCATGTGCCAAAGCCCTCCTGCAGAAGGGACAGAGCCTGCTCCGAGAAGGAAGGGAGTAAAGGAGTGAGGCTGGCACACTGGCCTCACAAGGTCATTAAACGGTCATGCTGTCCCTGCCATGTGGGGAAAGAGCCGAAGG